CATGTTACTTTAAAAGGAATGGAGTATAATTTCCCATTTACAAACCACCTTCTAGGGCAGAGAAGGTCAAAACTGAAGACCACGAGACACGATTCTAGAAACGGAAGTTTCTATGGGCATATGGTTTAAGTTCTGGGAAATTTCCACTTAGTTGTTCGTTCAAACAACCACTACCAAATTCAATATTCAAAAAGTAAGTACAACAGAATTAGTCATCCGTACTATCAAGTCTAAGTCTTTGTTCTTGCCAATTAATTACCAAAAATATAAAATGGTTATGTGGAAGCAGATAAAGATGAAAGATTCTGCTTATTAAGTCAAATTTTAACAAGCCGTACACGCAATATCCTTAACAAAAATACATTTGGTTGTGTGGGACAATTTGAAAAATTAAACCTTATTTATTTGAATTGGAAAATTTTTCTAAAGTGTGGAATAGTTCCTCTATTTAATTATCAATTCTTAATAACTCATTAATTTGAATTTGTTTAAGGAATTGTAATTCCAATTGGCAAGCTAGAGGTATATATATTTACCTTATTTGCATGTTTTATTTATTTATATGCATTAATAATTGATCAAGACATTGATTAAAATTTGAAAACGTGTCCAATTTAAATTAAAAAAAAGTTTTTTCACATGTACTTTTAATCATATTTTATTATTATAAAAATATAAAAATATATAAAATTATTATTAATTTTAATATTAATGTTAAGTAAATAAATTAAAAATTAATTTTTAATTTTAACATAAATTTATAATAAAAAATATATTTATTATATTTTAAAACACTTGCTAAAAAAATTTTTAAAATCGGCAAAAATCATTTTTATGTTTTGTTTTATTGCGGAAGATAACAGGTTAGGTCCATGGAGGAACCTTCCTTGGAAAGAGAGAGGAAAGTGACAAGTACATGCTAGGTAGGAGAATCAAAGTGTACGACCAAAAATGTGAAACGAGGGTGGCGACTGGTGAGCTAAGACCTAAGAGCTTGCGCCGCGATCCGCGTGGATTACTTTTCTTTTTTCCATTAATAATCTTATAATCTTATTTTCCCCGACACAAACTACTTCGCTTTTGTTTAGCTAATCCCACACCTCACTTCATGCTCGGGGAGCTCATTATTTCTCTTACGCGCTGTGGGAGCGTGCGACTGTCGACGAGTTTTCTACTTTAACCTTGCATTGCCGGCTTGGCTTGCAGCCGAGAAATTATTATTATTATTATTTTCTTTTCTTTTATAGTTACTTGGAAAATTATTTTCTACCTTTAAATAAAGAAACTGCAGGGGGTAATTATACAAAACAAGAGAAATTCAATTACAATTATTATTAGATTCGTACAGTTTGAGATTAAAAATATATTGTTATTTATTGTGAGAGTTAAAATTTAAATTCAAAGATCTTAAGATAAATTTATTTATTAGAAAAAGGCTATAATATTTTTTGAGTAGCCAAATAAATTTATCTATGAAAACAATTTCATTGATAACTTTAATTACGAGGGAAAAATTGTGGTTATAACAACATATTATTATTAGAGTTACATAATTTTATCTGATATTATTTTTGGTTTTATTATTAAAAATAATTAATATTTAGCGTCTAGTTAATATTTATAATCTAATAAATTTAATTTAATTTATAAAAAATATGTTTATATGTTGTAATTAGTTGCTTTAATAAAAATATATTAATCAAATTATTTAATGTTAATAATAATATGTGCAGTCAAAATCACCTTAAAAAGTAATTAATTTTTACAATTTACAGTATATATATAAAAAAAAAAGGGTTAGTGGGGCAAAGATTATTTAGCTGTGACAGTATTTGCACGCGCGTTGCTGCGATCGGACTTAACAGTCCTTTACTAATTACTACCAAAAGCACATGGATTCTAGAAGAGTCAAGAGATTTTTTTTTTTTTTTTTTTTTGGGTAAAGAGTCAAGAGAATTAGGAAACGCTCCTAATCCTCAATTGGCTCGCTCGCCTCTAACGACTCATTCCCATCTTATCTCACCTAGCCCAGCTACGCGGTGACGCTAGCGTGCTAAACGTGGCCCCCATATTTTTTTCACCACTAATTTCGCACTAATTACAAAAATGTCTCCATCTTCGGACCGCTGTTGCCGTTTCTTAGCAAACAAGCATAAAGGGCAAATCTGCCTTTTGATCTACTGACTAGTCACACGCTCTGCCCTGTTTGCCACTTATAAATACCCCTTGCAAGCTAATCCTTCTTCCATTCAGTCGCAATTGAATTTCCTCTTGAGCGTCAGATTCAGTAGTCCTTCAAAATTTCTCTTTGTTTTCACACTTCAAACCTTTTGTGATCCGATTTGTTGTTTAGTCATGAAGAGATTTAGATCTGAGGAAGCCGGCGAGGTCGACACCGCCAACTGCCTGATGCTTCTCTCCAAGGTAGGCCAACCCGGTGCAGCGGCATGTGATCGTTTTTTCACTTGCAAGACCTGCAACAAACAGTTCTCGTCATTTCAAGCGTTAGGTGGACACCGCGCCAGCCACAAGAAACCGAAGTTGATGGGAGGAGAGTTTCTGGAACTGCCTGTCTCACTCAAAAAGCCGAAGACGCACCCGTGCACTATTTGCGGTCAGGAATTTCCGATCGGACAAGCGCTGGGAGGTCACATGAGGAGACACAAAACATCTGCTGCCGACGTAATAGAGACTCGCGAGTTCTTGCCGATGCCAGTGCTGAAGAAGTCGGTTAGCAGTAAAAGGATTGTATGTTTGGATTTGAACTTGACGCCATTAGAGAATCATCTGAAATTTGGGCTGGGGAAATTGGCGTCTGTTAATTGATGGTTTTATGTTGAAAGCTTTAATACCAACTAG